AAGAGAAGCGTGTGTAATATACACAGGCCATCAGAAACGTTCCTTGTCATTCATTCAATGTTTTTCAAGTACCTACCACCTCCAGGCTGGCACTGAGTGCACCGAAATGAAAAAACCCTCAAGGAACTTACAGACCTAGTGGATGAGGCAGATAAGCATCCCAACTATTGCCAGGCTTTCCAATAGATGACAAGAAAGAATGACCTCTTTGGTGCTATGGGAGAGAGGAGAGGCATCTCTGTCAAATAATTTCAGGAGAAACATTCAAAACTGGGGTGGAGAAATGGGGAAACAAACTTGGTCATTTGCTTTTCTTTTCTTGTTGCCACAAGACATTTAAAAGATCTCAGATCCACTCCTGGTTTATACCCAAAATAATTGAAAATAGGGACTGCAATAGATACTTACAACCCATGTTCATAGCAGCATTATTCACAATAGCCAAAAGGTGGCAACAACTCAAGTGCCATGGACAGAAGAATGGATAAAAAAAATGTGATGCAACATGCAAAAAAAAAAAAAAAAAAAAAATGTGATGATTCACAATAGATTATTTTCTCAGCCTTTTTAAACAAAGGAAATTCTGACATGCTACAATACTGATGCATTTTGAAGACATTATGCAAAGTGAAATAAGCCAGACACGAGAAAACAATATTTTGTGATTTCACATACATGACACCTAAAGTAGACAAATCCATAGAGACAGAAAGTAGAGTGGCGGTTGCCAGGGACTGAAGAGAAGGGGGAGTTATTGTTTAATGGAAGATTTAAAAAAAAAAAAAAAAGGTTCTGGAGATGGATGGTAGGGATAATTGTACAACAGTGTGAATGTGCTTAATGCAGTTGAACTTTACACTTAAGGATGGTTAAAATGGTAACTTTTATGATATGTGTTATTTACCCTCATAGGCCTCAGACAGTCTAATCCATTGATTTCACAAGTGAGGAAACTGATATCCAGCTTCTCTTTGAGCAGAGACTGAAACACAGACCCCTACTGCAATGCTCTTTTGTCTGCCACACATAATAATAATAATAATAATAATAATAATAATAATAATAATACAACTCATATAGCATTGTGCCAGGTGAGATTCTAAGCACTTTATATGTATTAACTCATTCAATCCTCATAACAGCCCATGAGGTAGGTTGTTTCTCCCTATTTTAGAAGTGAGGAAACTAAGGCAACAGAGAATTTATGTAATCTACCAAGACGACCCAATGAGTAACAGGTCTACTTACTGGTTCCGGAGTAGTGCACTTAACTACTACATTCTCAGGTCTTAGTTGTCACGTCCTACCCTCCAAGACAAGAATTCTATCCATCCTCAGGACAATAGGCTGCAAAAATGTTCCCATCCCCTTCTCATCCATGCCCTCTACAGTATGACCTTGCAGCTTACTGCATCAAGAGGCATAAACTACTCCTTCTTTCCTTGAACCTGGACTGGCCATGAAATTTGCATTGGCTAATCAATGGAAAGCCATGACAGATGATAAACGGGTTCCAAGCCCAACCTGCAAGAGGTCTGGTATGCTTTCTCTTCTTCAGAACCCTGCCTCTGTCCTGCGATGAGGTGTAGGCTTGCCTGCTGGAGAATGAGAGACCAGGAGAAGGGGAGTCCCGTTGCCCATCTGAGGCCACTAAGATCAGTCTACACTAGCCAAGGCCCAAACATGTGAGAGAACCCAGCAAGGCCAGCTGAGCTCAGTCGAGAGGAAGGCTAAATGTCTTCGGTTCTGCATACATATGGGCCAACTGCTTTCCAGAACAGTTAGAATGAAGAAAAACATCTGACTTGGGATGGAATCAGGCCAACAGTTGGCTTCCCAGGCTGTGGTAACAGTACAGGCTGTTACCTGAAGATAGCTGGAAATGTGTGGGGTATGTTTAGAGAACAGTGAGTAGCCTGTTGAACTATAGACCAATTGTGTCTAAGGGGTTAATGGGAACTAGACCTGGGGAAGGAGGTTAGACCTGGCTTAGTTTCTACCTAAGGGGATGAGAAGCCTTTATATGTGTCACATGTTCATGTTCTCTTTACAATATCATAAAGAAAGTATTATGGCTTCCAGTTATACAGAAAAGAGGTCCCAAGTCAGGATTTAAATATAGACAATCGGAGCCCAGAACCTGCCTTATCTGCTTATTACAAAGCCATGATGGAGAGACTGAAGATGGGGAGAACATTGTAAAGATCCCATAATGGCCAATAAAGCAATTGTGAGGGCCTGGCCTGAGGTAATGGCTGTGGGTGACATGCAAGGGAATGGGGTACAGGACTAGATAGCAGGTTGAGTGGATAAGGAGAAGAATGAAGGGAGTCTGCAGGGGAATGCTCAGATGGTGAGCCCAGGTGACGGAAAATCATAAGTGTCAGGATCAGATACTCAAGAGTGCAGAAACTGGTTCAAACATGTTGATTCTGAAATTCCCTGCATGGGATGAACAAGTGGAGGACTGCACATAGATTGAATGAACAACATAGTTAAGGCATGAAAAACATGTTTGGGGTGATCTGCATAGAGCTAAATCTCAATTTCCTCGTGTAAAATGAACTAGTTGTTCCAAATGCTGAATTTCACCAAGCATGAAAAAACAGAATTTCTATCTGTGACAATCTATTGAGTTTTGCTGAAAAGTTCTTTTTATTGGTAATCAAGTGGGAAGAAAAGTAATGAACTTGGATGTTACTTCACTCAATAATACTGAATTTTCTTTTTGCAGTTTTTACTGAGATTTAAAGTTTTATGATTCTTGTATCTATAAGCTTTTGAAAATCTAATATTTAGTCCCACTTTTAAAATGTCATTTCTTACATATTTTTTGCTTGTTTCTTGTTTTGTTTGATTTGTGAGACCAAAATCAAATTAAAAAAAAAAAAAGGTTAAAGTTGCTAATAGTTATGGCATAGCCACTATGTGCTTGGCATTCTGCATGTACATATTTTCTCCTTGAAATATAGTTTTGTGAGTAATGAGGAATGTTAACCCAATTTTACAAATGAGGAGATGAGACTTACAGGTTAAATCATTTGGCCAAAGTTAAAGCTAATTAAGGGAAGTAAAATGAGCTTTCTATTTTATAGACTTCCTCTCATCATTGGTGTTTTTATTACAATGTTGGCTAATAAGAGATGAAAGTAGTAAATGTTCTCTTTCCCAGAACAGAAGTGGTTGAGACCACTTTTTAGAGATTTCTGCTCCTATTCAGAACAGAAGATCTAGTGTGTAAGTAACCTGGGAGAAAGTGCCTCAACTACAGCCTGATGAGAAACAGATGTGAATTCAAATCCGAGTTCTGCCATACTCATTTGTAGCATCTGGCAAGCTCTTAACCCACCTGAGTCACAATTTTCTCAGCTGTAAAACTCAGAATAATAAAAGGTCATGTGCAAGGTTATTATGAGCCCAGAAAGAAGTAAAAGGGATCAATGATGAGGACTCAGATTGTCTTGAAGAGAGATGATGACTTAAAAAAAAGAGAGAAAGAGAACACGTGAAGCATCTGCTTCAGGGTACTCAATAAATATTTCCTTTTTCTTTTCAAAAACTTTCCAATTCCAAAACTTATGGCTGACATGTGGACTTTGAATAAAGGATATTTATCATTTCCCAATTTTTATGTTATTGATCATTTTTATTGTATTTAAATTAGCAATGCATATCTGTGCGGCTCATTTTTTTTTTTTTTTTTTTAGTAGCAATGCATCAAGTGATTCTTTCCAAATCTCTGATAAGTGGGTCACTAAAACATTGCCATATCAAAGTTAATTATTGGTCTGTGCCCATTAAAATGTATATAGGTGGAATATGTGCCACGTTGCCCATTCAGCACATGCAGGAAATGAGACACCCACCTGTGCAGCTGACTCACTAACATCAACTCCCAGCACAGTCAGCACCTCTGATTCATTCATTCATCGAGTAATTAATCTCAACTGAATGATGTGCACATCCAACGAAAATTTACATTTATAAGTAGTTCTTTCCCTGTGCAGGATGTAAAACAGTTTGTTCATCAGTAAGCTAAGAATCTAGAAAGATACTGCTTTTAGCTCTTTCAACTTTTTCAATTGAGACTCCTGTATTCTTTCCTCAAATGCTCTCTTTTTCCCCATCACAATATATATGCGATTGACTTATCCTCATTAAAGCATAGGTGAGTGATAAAGTCTAATGTCTCCTAAGGGTATTTGTTTACACCATGATTGGAAATAAGGTCACTGGCCTACATGAAAGGAGTGGGTTCTCCTGATGAATGGGAAGCATGTGAAAAGCAACAAGAAAGAGCATTTTTAGTCATAAATCTTTATGTTGCTCTCCAGGTCAACTCCCAAACTATTGACATACGGTATGTGTACCCCTTCTATAATTTTCGTAACACTGAGTACCCCTCGTACTCATGAGAATGTAGAATTAGGTGCAGCTAAGCACGGTGCAGTGCATATCCCCACCAAAATCCGGTGCAACTCGTGTACCCTCACCAAACTCTTCCCGTTCCCCTGGGGGTACGCATACCACACTTTGGGAAACACTGCCATAGGCCATCACTGGCACTTAAACCAGGATACATCAGCCACGTGGCCCTGAACACCTTCATTCAGTCCCCAAAACACTGGGTTCATGAAGTAGGTGCATCACTTACTGGTAGAGCTACAAGGCCTGGCTCTGGTTATACCTCCACCTCCATCACCATGACAGCTTCCAAGTCCCTGTCATTAGCTCCTGGATTCTCAGCTAATGTCCTGGGAGGTATAAACCAAAGCCCTCCATGCAGAAGAGTAGTTGCCAGTCCAACAGAGGACAGCCACAGCCATGTTAAGCTCAGAAAGGCAAGTCTTTCCAGGACTGAACAAGTCTCTGTACAATATTTCCCACTTGGATCTCTGCCTAAACACTGGCAGAGTTTTCAACGCGAAAGGTGTCAGATAGCTGCCACCCCCAGGCAAAGTGCTACCAGGGGAAGACTGAGCTCGCAGGAGGTAACTTACCTGAGATCCATGTCTCCATCAACCCAGAAGGTGAAAATGTTAGAGACGGTTCCCCCCGGGCAGCACCCCATGATGAGAACAGCAATCGCTTGCAAGGGCGCTAGGGAGAAGCTGATGGCCAGGAGATAGGCGATAAGAGGCATGAGCCCAAACTGGCAGAGCAGCCCCACCGCGATGCCCCAGGGTCTTCTGATGTGGGACCACAGCTTCCGGATCTCCACGGAGCACCCCAGCGAGAACATGAGCATGCCCATCATCACGGCTGACACCACTGCGAAGACAAGTTCCAGGTTCCCAGGTGCCCGCAGCCCCACTGGCAGCTCCTCCTCCTCCGAACTGTTGGCAGCGCAGGCTGAGCCGCTGGAACAATTTGTCCTCATCTCTTCATCTCCTTAAGGCAGCATTACAAGTGAACATCTGCCGAGATGGCTGGGCATGTCTATCCTGCCACGTTTTGCAATAACTGCAGCGAAGTCACGCATGGAGAATCATTCCAATAGGTATGGGCCGGCCAGGTTGATTCACCCTAATCTGATCAATTCCTTTACGACTTTGTAAAAAGCAATTGTCGTGGCCATGAAACATATAATACACTGTGCTAAGTAAGGCTTTTCCACTTCTGGTCTTACTCACCACTGAATATTAAAGAGAAACGAGACAAGCAAACTCATTGTCAAGTGGAGTGATCGGGCTGTGTCGTCAGCATCACATTGTGTTCCAGGAAAGGAGGGTGGATGCCAAGATGTAATTTCTCCAAATTCAATGGGGATTTCAAAGAGCCAGGATGCAATTTTTTTCGGAGAAAGAGAGAGGCTAATTCTGTGAGAAAAAAAAAAAAAATTTTTTTAAACAAAGGCAATTAAACCAAAGCTCTGTGTCATTAGCAAAGCATTAGCAAAGAATTTCTGTTGAAAGTATTAAAGCCAAAGACTGCCAGTTAAGGAAATGGTAGGAAATACTAAGGATCGTTTCGAGAGTGCTTTAAAATTAGTCTCCCTTTTTCTTCTTTCCACTTCTCTTAAGAGTTTGTGGTCTAAAGTCTATAACGAAATGCCTGTAAGAATAATGTGATATAAAGCCTGATTATGCCTCCCGAAACAAGGAAACTCATTTCTGTTCCCAAAACAATGCAAGGGAGCTGTCGCTTGCTTTCGGATAGTGTGGCTTTGTGACACCACACCCTCGAGCCTGCTGGTGACGTCTGGGAACCGGGGTGGGGGTGAGAGGAAGGAATGCAGTCAAGAGCTCAGTCTGAGAAGCCTCTGAGGTCAGCCTCTGACCACAACGGCCCAGGGCCCCTCTGTGTGTCCTCACCAGGCACCGCAGGCGAAACCAGAGGAGGAAAACACGGGTCTGTGAAACGAAACCTCCAAAAACACAGAGGCCACGCCCTTTCTCACAGAGAGCAGGAGGTTATTTGTGGGGCACGGGCTGGTGACAAGGTGCACTTTATAAATTCCTCTGCCTGCCTAAAGGGGAGACTGGCTATGCATTGTTCAAGGTTTGATGAGCAAATCTTCATGACAAAACAGGCTTGTCTACTGCATAAAAAAGTATGAGTTGAATACAAAATGTGAAATAAAATCTGTTTGAAGGAGAGATACTGCCTTAGGCCACAACACCCTAAAAGGCAGCTCTGAAGGTGGAACCTTGTGGGAGGCCATCAGAGGTCAGAGTGGTGACTGGCTGCCACCAGCTTTTGTTTTATGCTGAGAACAAGCCAGCGTTCATGCCCAATTTGGAGAGCTCATCAGAGGCGACCCAGAGCCATCTGAGGTATGTTCACACAGAGCCACGCAGAGAAATGGACACTCAGGGACCAGTTAAAGCTCCGTGCACCCGGCTACAATAACACAGAGGTGTGGTAGAGCTGAGGGGGAGGGGAGGAGGGAGAGAACCAATTTGGGGGTGACAGGAGCATGCTAAGCGCTTTATGCATAGGAGCCTGTGTCTGATGAAGCAGAACTTTTTCATTAGGTTATTTCATAAGAGAAGGAGTCAGACATTTCTTTCTAAGTAAAGTCAAGAAGCTCCTTGGCAGACCTTCTTTGTTCCTCGGAGAGCCACTTGAATTTACAAAGTTAAGTGGAGTCAGCACCTCCAGGAGACATGCTAGCTGGAGGAGTTGTCCTCATCGTTGCTCTGCACAAGGTTACTAAGCCAGGGGCATGTGCGCTCTGCACTGAAGGAGCTTCCTAGAGGGACATGTGACCGTGGCCACTACCCTTATAACATTTACTGTAATCAGAATGTTTTAACTGAATTAGAATGGTTCCAACTGGCACCCATTGGCTGAAAAAGATAGCACGTTCCCATAGCCCACCATGAAAGGGATGTCTGGATGGGTGACACTTTCCTCTGGATCCAGTCCAGATGCCACGCAAGGACCGAGTGGTTGCAACCTGAAAAGGGGTAACCTTAAGAGGCCACATCCTGGCAACCATGCTGAGTGCCAGCATTGGGACCAGAGGCAGCAGTAAGGGCCATCAGACTGGGCGGGGCCAAAAAGTACCAACAAAAGCAATAGCTGCTGAGCCCGGCTGCCCTGGCTCAGTGGTTGAGCGTTGACCCATGAGCCAGGAGGTCATGGCTGGATTCCAGGTCAGGCCTCATGCCCAGGTTTTGGGCTTGATCTCCTGCTGTGGGCAGGAGGCAGCTGATCAATGATTCTCTCTCATCATTGATATTTCTATCGCTTTCTCCCTCTCCCTTTCTCTTTCTAAAATCAATACTTTTTTTTTTTTTTTTAAGAAAACAATAGCAGCTGAAACCAGAGCCTACAGGTGACTGATCAGGCTTTTCCAACTTTCTCTCCATCAGAGGTTGGCAAGAATAAGCCCCTAGAGTTCTTGCTTAATTTGTAAAGGGTATCTAAAGTAGGGGATTCTAAACTTATTGGCATGTAGGAATTCATAATTTAACAGACAATTTAAAAAGATATGAGCAAACCTATACCTTGGGGTACAACCTTACCCCCAGCTGGTGAGGCGGGTCATGGGATCCTACCAAATCTTCTCATCCATTCTGAGAGGTGCGTGCTGTGGTTCCGCACTTCCCAGATAGAAACAAAGGCCTCGTGAGGCTGTGTGATTGGTCCAAGGTTACTAAGCAAATAAAATAACAACAGGATTGCAATCCCAGTGTGGTGCTCAGCCTGCTCTCAATTCCCTGAAGCATGCTGAGTGGGAGCGATGGAAAGCAGTCTGGAGCACCATCGTGCCAAAAGACCGGCACCCGCGCAGAGGTGAAACACTATTTGGCGTAAAGGTGAAGAAAACAAACAAACAACCCCTACTCTTTCATTTCACCTCATACGCTCATCCATGTGTAAGGCACCTGAACATGTTCAACATATATGCACCTGAATTTTGAGATCCAGTTCTACAAATCACAGGAAGTACTTCATGTATTTCTGTTCTCTGCCCTGAGAATCAGGGGAAAAAGAGCAAAACCAACGGGAAGGCCTGTGCTCTTCAGTCTGGAAATGTGAAGGCTGAAGGGAAAGCAGGAAAAGGAAAGGTAATCAAATATGGCTGCGGAGTTGTTCTCCAAACTGAAAATTAATGCAAGGGGGGATTTCTAAAAGCTTGAAGGGCATAAAACAGCTGATAGGTTGAGTTCCAAAACAAGTTTAAAGAAATTAGTCATAAGGAAGCGGAAGTAGACAGTTTACTCAGACATCACATGGTAAAAAGCATAATTCTATATTTAAAAAAAAAAAAAAAACTTCAAAAAACAAAAACCACTATCACCTCACAGAAAAAAAGAAAGAGAGGGAGAGACCAATAATTGAAAAGAAAATTCACAGTTATTAACAGGCAGAGGAATCAATATCACTAGTCATTTCTTAAAGTACATTAAAATGTGTTGCCTATCAGAAAGAAAAAAACAAATTTAAGATACATATCCCTTACTGACAAGAGCTGAGTGAAAGACACATTCTCATACACTGCAGGTAAGATAAAAAATTCACACAACTTTTCTGGAAAAATTGCCAATATGTACTAAGGACCTTGTAACAATAAGCCCAAGAAGCTTAGTAAATAAGCTGCAATACTGGCAAAAAATGTATCATTTAGTCTGCACCGGTTTGCTCAGTGGTTAGACATCGCCTGCAGACTAAAAAGTCTCAGGTTTGATTGCGGTCAAGGGCATGTATCTTAGTTGCTGGCACATCCCCAATAGGGAGTGTGCAGGAGGCAGCTGATCAATGTTTCTTTCTCATTGATGTTTCTAACTCTCTATCCCTCCCCCCACCTTTCTGTAAAAAAAGAAAAAAATCAATAAAATATATTTTTAATGTATTATTATTTAGGGCAGATGTTCCCATATATAAAGGCATTGTTATTTATAAGTATAGTTTTATTTTATCAAGATCAAATGGTATAGATAGAATTCTCAGTCTGGCTGGTGTGATTCAGCTGGTTGGAGCCTTGTCCTGTGCACCAAAAGGTTTAATTCCCAGTCTGGGTACATACCCAGGTTTCTGGTTCAATCCCCTGACAGGGGGCCTACAGGAGGCAACTGACTAATGTTTTTCTCTCTCTCATATTGATGGTTCTTTCTCTCTCTCTTCTTTCCTCTTTCTCTGAAAAATCAGTAGAAACATATTCTCAGGTGAAGATTTAAAATAAATAGCATTCTTCTAGCCATCTATATATATAAAAGCCTAAGCGAACAGAATGACTGGAATAACCAGTCACTATGAGGTGCACTGACCACCAGAGGGAAGACACTCAATGCAGAAGGTGCCCCCTGGTGGTCAGTGAGCTCCCACAGCCACCTCCCCCAGCCAGCCAACCTCACCTGGTCATTCCCCGCAGCCAGCAGGCCCCAATCACCCAATTGGAGCCAGGCCCTGGGCTGGGACGGGGAACACAGAGTGGGTGGTGGTGGATATGGCCCCTTTCCCAGGGAGCCAAGGGCTGGCTCCCTGCTCAGGGCTGGTAGCCAACCTTCCACACCTTGTTCCTTTCCCTGGCCAGCAAGCCCCGATCGGCCTGCCACCCACCTGCCATGATAGTGGTGTGACAGCGAGGGAAGGGGGGGGGGGGAACTGCATGGTGGTGGGGTGCCAATGATGGCAACATTGGTGTCTGGCATCCATTCCTTCTGCACCCTGCCCAGCAACCATCGCCTCCTCTCTGGTCCAGCCTTGAGTGGCCTGGCTCTGATTGGTCCTGGGGGCTTAGGGACCCCACCCGTGCATGAATTTTGTGCACCAGACCTCTAGTGTTAAAATAATAAGCACTGAAAGAGATTAAATGGAAAGGATGAAAAATTGTCATAGTGATTGCTTCTGTATGTAGGACTATGGATAATGTTGTTGTCTTTTTTATACTTTTGTATGATCTAGTATCTTTGAAATGTCTGTGTTTTA